GCCCCCCTCATTCCCCCCCCCCCCCCCCAGTTTTTAGGCTGATCTCGAGATCAGCACTTTGATTATGGTACAACAGCCACTGCGGGCTCTCGACAATTAAAAGAGAGGAAGGCCGAATGCCATTGCCATGAAAAACCCTGCAACTTAAAGTCATTAGTCAATGTCAACGAGAGTACGTCTATGTCGTCCTCGTAGGCTTTAGCAATTACAGCAATATCCTTAACCTCGGTAAATGAATTCGGCTGCCCGATTAAAAGTTACGAGCGGGCTCGCAAGCTGCGGAAAGGAGCGATCGACGACTGCGAGGAGGAGAAAAACACCGGTGTCGCCGGTAAATTCTCAGGAGATGACGAGCTGTGGCTTTGCCCCCGATATGAGTCGTTCGCGTCCGGTGAAACTAGTTTGCTCGCCCCGCCTCTTGCGCCACTGCTCCCCTCGTGATTCTGGACCGGGTAGAGGAGCTGCACGAGGCCGAGGAGCCGAGGCGTCCGGTCGTGGCCGTGGCGATATGGTGGTGAGGGTGCGTGGGGCGGGGCGGGACGGGGTGGGACGGGGAGGAGGAGGAGATCGCTTTAATTGTCGGCCGTTCGCGCGGCGTCGTTACGTCGTATCCTTTTGTGCGAGGCCGCGGTCGCCGCTCGCCTCGTGAACGAGCCCCGACGGACGAGGGATAGGGCCAACGGTGGCGCTCGTTAAACCCACTCGTTCCCCGTTGTTGGATTTCGACGGCCCGTGTCTCCGGGGATGTTTCGTCGTTTCTTTATTTCTTGCTTGTTGCCAGCTACGTCGATCGCAGCTCGTATCGTTGCTCAGATTCTCCAGCTAATCGTCGTACCTGCTTTTGAGGTTCGTCAGCTCCGAGCCACGCGCTCTCCACGGGAAATCTCGTCCGTCAGAATGTTACTAACACGACGTAATGGCTGGAGGTTTGTGATGGTGGACAATGAGTTGGAGGAGGAGATAGGGAGGATAGAGAGAGACAGAGAAAGAGAGAGAGAGAGAGAGAGAGAGAGAGAGAGGAGAGAATGGTTGTCGTCCAAAAATCACGATGGACCCGCGCGCGACTCGACTCGAAAAACACCGGTTCCAAGATTTTTGCCTTCAATTGTTCCTCCGGCAAAAAATGCCGCCCAGCTTCACGGAATATATATGTGTACATAAGTGTATATATATATATATATATATATATATATATATGCGAAGATGCATCCCCGTGGTACGACAAGCGAAATAATATTAAGCTCGGTAAGGACGTCCTCGAGGTCGTCGGCATTAATTATCGCGACGACGGTGTCGGCATTTTAGCAACGTCGCGTATGGCAGAGTCACCGAGAGTGAATTAGCCGACTTTCCCCGTATCGCTCTTGCTCACTCCCTCGACTGCGGCTCGTGAAAAATGAAGGTGGCTTTCTTTCGCGTATGATAAATAACATTTCTGCCGCCGGTTAACGATAAAGTAACCTTGATCTGTAGGAATTTATTTTCAAGCAGATACATAGTTCATAACGAACGTCAATTCGTCTTTGCTTTAGTTTGGGGACGTTTGGTAAATTTTAGCGATTTTGTGATAAAAATTAGCGGTAAACGATGTGATGACAAATTCAATGAATAATCAAGTCGATAATATTTCTCGGTAGCCGTCGATATTATTGTTTAAAGTTTTTATGCGACTTTCGATTTTGTCTTACGTAATCAAGAGGAAGTGATTTTATTCGCGTAGATGGAAGTATTAATAATTGAGTGTGAAAAGTACGAGAATAATGGAGAATCGAAATTGGAACCTGTAAATTTATAAAGTAGAAATTATTAATTTCGGAAATTATAAATGTCAGCTAATTTAGAGAAAATGTCCGTGAAAAGGATTCGTAGATGATGACTCGGCCAATCGGTAAGTGAGCGTGAGGAAGAACTCGAGTATCTATATTGTGTTACAAATATTGTCGACTATACCGAGTGAGATTGGGATAGAGACAGAGAGAGAGAGAGAGAGAGAGAGAGAGAGCATTGGATCTTCGGTCTCGGTCTCATATTTCTCGAATATCATTATCATATCTTATCCCTTCCACGTTTGTTCTATACCCACTCTTCTTGATTCGCATCTCTCTCTCTCTCTCTCTCTTTCTCTCTCTCTCTCTCTCTCTTCCCCTTCAATTCTTTCTCCTTTTCTTCTTTCATTTTTTACAAATACTCCCGCCGATGTTCATCCTCCCGATTTTCGGCTCTCGATCGCCCCGATGCGTCCATACATATTCCTCGTATTTCATTGCAGCATCCGTTCTTCCTTTAACACCTCAGGGAAATATCTCGGCTCCTCGGCCGTTCCGCTGGACTCCTTTGTTAAGGTCACGAAGATTTGGTTTATCAACGAAATTTCATGCATTTTTCATGATAGGCGAATAAGAACCAAAACATTTGACACGATTATTCTACGGTTATTCTTGCTCTTATCGATTGCGATAGGAGTGATTCCGACGCAGCCGGAAACCAAATATAATCACTCCTCGCGATGGTCGTTAGTCGTTAGTGGCGGCAGCCAATGGCCGGGCGACGGTCAAGTAACGTTACAATATTTACGGCGCAAACTTCCGAAATACCTTAATAAATCACTCCTCGAGGCATGTATTGGTGGATCATTACAAAGTTCGCGATTGCGCAAGTACGAACAATGTTGTGACGCTGTATAAGATTATCGTATTCCTTAACGAGAGAAAAACATTCGCTTAATATACGTTTCGTATCTGCTGTGCATCCACGTGTTAGCGCGTTAGGATAAAACGATGGATTGCATCAAGAAATTTGAAAGGAGCGTTTCAAAAAAGTTTCGGGGCACGATCGACTTACGAAAAAGTATAAAGAAGCAAGATCTTGCGTAGCTTCCTCGCGAATTATTCGGTATCCTCTCTTCCCTCTTTTTTTACCAACTCAATATAGCCCGCGTAAAAGGATCTGAGATTAAATGACCGCGAGAGCTCCGGGCAAAGGGGATATTATTCTTTTGCTCACTCTTGACATTCTCGGGGACGACGGAAGACGTGCAGGTGTGCGCGACCGAGAGTGGATGACTCCGTATGTGCAACCGGGTTACGGATGATCTATTTTCTATTCCATTATTGGTGGGTACTACTCCGTGTGTATCTGCGCGGGCGCGCGTGTATGTATGTATGTACCAAGAGTCTTCAATTCACGACATACGAGTCCTGTCTACCTGTCCCGAAGCAAGGACATGGACTACGGGGGCACCTTTTAAACGGCAATCCAGAAGCGATATATATTTACTGAAGGATATTGCGAAATCCTTGCACTAAAATGCACAAAAAATCTTGACAGTATAATAAAGATTACTGGCAAGTCCTTGCGCAGATTTGAATGCATTACAAATCAATTAAAATTTAACGGTTTATAATGTTCTCGAGTTATATTACAAGCCTGCGTCGTCTTCGCTCAAATAAACTTGAGAAAATTCAAAAATATAAAATATTAAATCTTACATACATTTGATCCTTCTTGCGTTTAATATTAAAGTTTCATAAAAAAAAACTTGCCAGATGAATGAACGACACGCCGAGAAGAAAACTCAATTTACATTTTGAATTTGAAATATTTGATTTATGCGAGGGCATATATTAAATGATATATTAAACCCATATAAAGCCACTCGTTATCGTAATTCTTGACTTTTCTCATTTTTATAAATCGAATATTCGCGCAGCGACATATTTTTGAAGTCTGCGCGACACGACATCACCGCTTCACCCGACACTCACGTGTCTCGGGGCGCACGTGCGCCCTCGTACCCATACCCACACCCACACACATACGCCCAGTGCATTAAAAGTGATACATTGGTAATGAATTGGGAGCCGGGCGGGGGGGGGAGTTAAAGCGGTGTTTAATAATCATAATGGATTAAACGGACGAATTTGAATGTACGGCCGTTTAATGATTGTGCATAGAGTGTGCTCGGCTTGTCGAGTGTCCATGAATTATTATTGGTGGTATTAATCGCGTTAGAACAAGGCCATCGGCGCTAATCTCGATTTCACCTCTCCGTCAGACATTGGCCACTCGCTGCGCTATTCTGCTCTGGTACACTGGCGCAGCATCTTTGCCAATTGAAACAAGAGTTCATCGGTAGCTCGAGAGTGGGGAAGGTGTTCCGTGAATCGGTAAATCCGTGAGTCCAACCACCTCGCGCGCATACGAGATATCTTCATAGGCGCGAGCGTCGCCGATAAACTCGTGAATATCCAAATGCATTGTGAGAGCGGATGATCAACGTGGCGCGAGTTCTCTCGGCTTCCGTTCGCGGATCGCATGAAATATGGCTGGAGATGGAGATCGGGGTCTGACTATCCCGTAGAAGTCGGCATCAGCCTTGCATTGTCCGCGGCAAGGACAATGGCCGCCCCCGCGTATCTACGTAGTCTACGTTCTTTTTTTTCCCGGTGCAGTGTCCCCCGTAGCTGATTTTCAACGCTCACACTCCTCCGTTCCGCCCCTCCTCCACCTCCTCCTCCGCCTCCTACTCCATTGGCGCCCGTCGACCAAGCGCACTTGGAGGACCATAGCGTGGCTTTCTAAATGGACGACTTTTTTCTCATTGCCATTGTTGCCGCGGGAAAAATATCGAGTCCAGCCGATGCTTATCGCGCGTCGCTGCA